GACCAATACATGATTTTAAGAGCTTTACTCACTACAAATAATCTTTTGATGATGAAACTAACTGCAAAAAGCTCTGGAAGAAAGACCTTGCATGAATATAGCCAAATTAGGAAACTCATATTGTAACAGCTGTGTCCATAACCACATGTATTGCTGTTTTATTTTTTAATCTACATTACTGGATCTATTTTTGACTCCAAACTAGATGACTCATTTGATCATAACCAATGAAAAAAACATAGTATGTTGCCATAAAATATTTCTTAGAGTTGATGCAGTTTGGGTTTTTTTCTTTCCACTGCAATCATATACCTCTTTACAAAAAACCATGGTCAAAATCAGCACATACAGGTATTTGGCTTGTTTTATTTAATAATCAATATAAAAGGAGCTGCTTGGATTTAATTGTCATTTACCTGTCTTTTTGATTAGTTTCTTGGATTTATTTTTCTTCTTTTCCTTTTATTGTGTTGCTCTGATTGTGATGAAAATTTGTTCAAAAATATTTCAACCAAATCTGTAGATCTACTACTATGTTCATGGAAGAGGGGCAAAAATCTTAACCAAAAGCAGCTGTGGAGCAGTATTTTCTACTTCATTTATCCCTTTATGTTTGTACAAAAGAGAAAAATTGAAAATTAGCCAAGAATGTAATACCATGAATCCTCTCACTAGAAAATACAGCCTAGTTTGCAGTAATCCCTTTAACCACAGCATTAGCTTCTTGCTCTGCAGTGCACAAACTGCTCTCAAAGCAGCGAGAGCCCTCACCAGCTCACACAGGTCCTGATGGCTGAGGCTGTGGTGCTTTGCATCAGTGTGTCAGGGTGTGCTCTCCATGACTTTGACTAGTTCATGGAATCAGAAATATTTATAGTTGTTGGCCATTTCTCTTGTCTCTGGGCCAAACTTTCACTTGCATCAGTCAAGAAGCAAGTCAAGCAGCGCTTTTAAATTAATGGTATCAGCATGGATCTGCCCTGGGGGGTCAGAGCAGCACTGAGGGCTCCACAGGGCTCAGGCCAGCTCTGTCAGCCCAGAGGCATCAGCCTTCTGCTTAACAGCGAAATGCATTTTCAGCTCCAAGGTGTCACTCCCCTTTCTGCAGCAATGCCTTTTAGTTCTTCACAACAAAACAGGTCAGCATCACTTCCAGGCAGAAATTTGACCCTTTCCTCCCTGTGGGATTCCTGGAGAAATCAAGAAATTCTTAAGAAAGTCAGGGCTGTACTGAGCATGGTGGGCTCCTCTCCTTTTCCATCCTCCTCTTCCTACCTTTCGGTGGGTCTCAACTGCATGAGGATAAAGCCTTTGAGCTCCCGATGCAGCCCTGATGCACACACCAGAGAGCCGGGCTCAGCACGCTGCTCCCTTGCTGCCAGGCATCTGCTCTCATGTGCGGGAATGCAAGAGATGAAAAAACAGGCCTGTGAGACATGACAGGGGCTCAGGAAGGGGCAACGGGGACAGGGACTTCTTGCTCCAGATTCAAAAGTGAGAAGGGCTGGAAGGCAGCTTGCTCCATGCATCAAAGCCACGGCTGAAACAGTACGAGTGGCAGGAATATAAATGAGGAATAAAGCTGCAAACTCAACTGAGTTAGACCTTGCAAAATCCATCTTAGAGAGTACAGATTCTGACCTGAGAAATGGGTATTGCTTAAGATGCTTTAAATCACAGAGAATGATGCACTAGGAAAGACGGCCCTCCACAGATGCCCTAATAGGTCTTTTCTTCCCTGTCCTCAGTGACTCCAATAAACTCCTGACCTTGCAGCCCAATAAAGATGAACTTAAAGGAGACGGGAAGTCTGGCTTCACTTTCAGCATCTTGTCAGAAGAAGCGAGGAGCTCTGCTTGGTTCAAAAATGATTACTAATGCCAACCTCTTACTGCCATTCTATCAGCTAGCAACAATTATTTTGTCCCTGGTACAGGCTTCTGCCTTCAGAACTCAGCTGAGCACTGAGTGCACTTGAGGAAGCAATAGTCTGGTGACACCTCTGTGGGAAGAGTTTTGTTCTGATAAAAGCTGCTGGTGAATCAACAGGAAGCTGAAATCTCTGTTTCTCATATTTGAGCATCTTACCCCTTTGTCCATTTGTCGTCAATTTATGGGGAATGACTACTGCAGAGATTTAGCTGTGTTTAGTCATAGGATGATTTTGTCTCTTCCTAGCAAAGAGCTAAGTATAGCACAGACTCATTATTCAGAGGCTGTCGGTGATAACTGGCGTTGGCATCCTTCCCGGGGCACAGTTTAAGTGGCCAGGTCCTGCTCGGAGCCGCCTTTAACTTGCCTTCACCTCTCCCTGGCTGCTCTTCGCTCTGCTCCGCAACCTGCCACGATCCCGGAGCACAGCTCGTCCGCAAAGACAACACTGGTGGGAAGTGTTTGTTCCTGATGACTGACTGAATCGTTCAGAAGCCTGGAAACTAAGCCAGTCACCATCCAGCTTGGCCGAGCTTCCAGTCTCTGAGAGCAGCCGCTATCAGGTGCTTCTCAAAGGGTTTCTGAACATCAAAAATAATCTGCCCTTGATATGGCTCCTCACTCTGGCTACACTTAGTTGTCACTTGTCATGATTTACTTGTGTGATCATTAATTACAACAATTCCAGATGTATTTTATTGCAAATATAAGCATCTAGGATTTTTTAAATCTCATTCTAATCTTGGTTTTATTATCTTCCAATATTAAGAAACCACACAGTCTAATTACACACTGTGTCAAGCATTGTTTCCATGCTGATAAAAAGCCTTTGCTACATGGGGAGAGCCTGGTCACTGTGCTGGCACCCAGAGCCTGCTGGTGCACAGCTTTACAACTGCTATTTAAAACAAACAAAAAAAAGAAATAATTAAAAAAAAAAAAAAAAAAAAAAAAACACAAAAAAAAAACAAAAAACAAAAACAAAAAAACAAAAACAAAAAGAAACAAACGAAACCCAACCAAAACCAGACCATCACTTTTACATGTAACATCTTCCTGCAGGGCACCTGGCCGCAGCTGTCCCTGGGGCAGAGCCACTGTTCCCGCAGGGTGCAGTCACCCCATGCCTCGTGGCTCCCAGAAATCCCTTTGTAAGTTCTTTCCTGTTTCCCAGCTTGGCATGTGCGCGTGTGCCTTGGGAAAGTGAGATAATGTCACCCCATTGCCATTTCAAATGTTTCCCGGGGCTGCCAAGCCCTTCATGGCACTGGTTTGAGAAACAATATCCCTGTGCTGTTCCCTCTGCTCGCTCCCAAAATGCCCCTGGAAGGTCAGGTTCAAACGCCCTCCCCAGAGGGACTTTACCTTTCCAGAATTTATATCTGCCTTGCTTTTTAACTCAGATTTTTTTGGGGATGGTTAAATACCTCTTCTAAAACCATGTGGACACTCGCTCTATGTATCAGGGCACATTCCCACTCTCCGAGGGGGTGCTGGGGTGCTTTTGGCCCGTTTGCTCTACCAGGTCAGGATTCCTACATGGTTCCATCACGATGATTTCTCTTGAACAGAGGGAATCGCTTCCCACTGGGCTGGATTCTGGGAGGCACCGATCCACCACATCCTGCTGGAGAGGGAAAGCACCCAGCACTGCAGCCCAGTGCTCACCAGCTCCAGAACGATATCATCGCTGGGGATTTTGGGGCACTATTGGAGGATTCAGTATCCCTGCTCCCTCTGAGATGCTGGACAGATTCATCTCTCTCTGCAGGGACCCGGGAGATACCTCCCACACCTGGAAGCAGCGGGAAGCCCTTATCTTCTCCCGCAGACTGAGGAACCATGTAGGCAGCAAAGCAGAGTGTAGCTGGAGCCCGACATGGGAAATAGAGGTGCCTGCGTTGCATTCCCAGTCTCCTCCCAGTGAGGTACCAGCCTTTGCTGCCCTTCACTCATTCTCCTTTCCATGGGGCTGCTGTAAATTGTTTTCCTTCATTTTGGAAAAGTATATCCAGGGACAGAACACAGTGTGAGCTCAAAGAAATCCTGACGGGGTCACGTGTGGAAGCAGATCAGCCAAAGGGACATAATTAACCATGAAGGACTCTCAGAAACTGCATACGGGTCAAAATGAGCCTGGGGTACCTGTTTCCCTCTCTGCAGGAATGTATGCAAGAAATCTCAGAAAAATGTACCAACATGCGAGATATTAAATCAACACAAGAGTTTAGGATTATTTTTTCCAGTTACAGTTGTAAAGAGACAGTCCAGCCCTGAGCTGGTTGTGTTCCCTGCTCCTGGTAGCTCTGCTTTGATCATAGAACCCGAGGAGATGGTTGGATCCTGGTTTCTGTTCTTTCAGTGCAGGTTTTTCTTGGACTCAAGCATGATGAAGAAGGGAGAACAGCGGGGGACAGTGGAAAAGAGAGAACCAGGGGACAGAGCTGAGATGGGAGCACATGGAGCCCCCTTACCCTCCCCTGTGCAGAGGGGCTTTGTGCTGGACCTGGGAGCCAAAGCAGGAGCCGGCAGGAACATTTGCTGAAAGCTGTAAAGGCGACCTTAGCATGTCATGAAAAAAAACCCAAAAGGCAATAGATGGTCATTCAACGCTTAACATACATTGGAATAACAGCAGAAATGTGTTTTTGGAGTTTCTTCTGCTAAAAAATTGCATGTCTGTCTTCTGGGATAAACTGCCCCAGCACGTTTCTGTGAGCTGGGAAGTCTGTTTCCCTGCACCTGGTGTCCCTGGAACGGTGGGATGGCGAGACGGTGGGACGGGGGGGACAGAGGGACAGCAAGAGTGGGACAGTGGGAGAGCAGGACAGCGGGACAGCTGGACAGGAGAGCAGGACAGCGGGACAGGAGAGCAGGACAGCGGGACAGGAGAGCAGGACAGCGGGACAGCCCCAAGCCCAGCCAAGAAACTGTCTCTTAT